GGGGTGGAAAAAAAAGTGTATGCAAAAACCTTAATAACATTTTTGTTTTGTTTTTATACTGTAATTTAATTGTTGTTTGTTTGTGTGGATATTATTATTATTATTATTATTATTATTATTATTGTTATTATTTACAATGTTCATAAAGGCCCGTGGGCTTAGACCTAATCAGTCTTGCTGCTGAATTATTCATGACATCAGCAATGCTTATCACTGCAAGTTTTAGACACTCAAACGCAAAACTCAATTACATATTTAAAATGACTAATCATGCATGCATGTAATCATGTTGCTTTTTCCAGAATGTTTCTAATCAATGTTGTTGTTGTTTTTCCTTTAAATACCAAGCCCTACTTCATTCAATGTACTCATTGAGTAAATGTGATGCTGCAATGTTTGTATTGTGTAAACTGGAAGTTCAGATACTTTAAATTCTAACTTTTAATTAAAAGTGTAGACAATATTGTTAAAACTAGAATATGAAATATGTTTAACTGCAGATAGAACCATAACCATTACAAGTTCTACTATAAACAAACTATTAAATTACCAACCTGCAATTACAGCACATGTATTTGACTGTTCAAACCGTCTTAACATGTACAGACATGGCAAGATAACAAAACAGCATTTTTTATTGTATTTTGCCCTTCATTTATTTTCTTAAAAACTATGCAGCAAACACTGCAGCTGCAGTGAACAAAAATTGTGAAAGCATTAGTTTTTTAAATAAAAATACCAAGAGTAACTCTAAATAATATTACAATATTGACAAATGGTACACCAATAGTGAATGCATGCCTAGGTGCAGCTAAACACAAAAATAGAAGTCAGCACAATGCAGATTTTTTTAAAGTCATCCAGCTCACAAGACATTGTACATGGTGGCAGGCATCTTAGATTTTGATGTGGCAACCCGATTTTTAATGGGAATCTATTTTTGTCTAGATGTAGCCACAAACCAAAGCGGAAGTTGGAATGTAGCTTATTTTTCAAGTTATCCAACTTACACGGTATGCTGTATATAAATATGGTGCCAGCCAATTTTCTAAAGGAAGCTTTATTACATCTATTTGTAGCCACACAACAAAATGGAAGTCATTACCTCATTTATTTTTCCAGTTATCATGCTCACAACATGAACGAATGGGCAGATTAAATGACAAAAACAGATTAATTTTCCGGTTCCTCCAAACTGTTCAGGACTGTAACTGCACAAAGCACCCTCCAAACTTTACAAACCATGGTGTTATAAACAAACAAAACCACCCACAAACTAGTAATGGCCTAACAAAGAGGTAGAGCTATTAACTGTTTGATTGATCTAATCAATTGATATTTGTGAGTTTCTAAAACATAAACAGTGAACCAGATGTGCATAATTAATCAGTTACAAAGTCAAAACCAAAAAGCACAAAAAAAAAAAAAAGATCCGACAAAGAACTGAGGAAAACTATTGAGTACTGGAACAGGTAATTACTGAATGACAACAGCTGTGCTGAATACTAACGGAATACACACGAGCTGGAAGCAGGCACAACTAAGAACTTTTAGTGACTAAGATAATATAAAAATACCATCACTGAATAACCAAAAATGTCTTCACACTAGGGGTTGAACGTGTATATAATTTTTAAACTCGACATTAACATAATAAAACCCGAATAGAACTCCAGTATTTGATGACGTCATAGATCTCAAAATACAAAAATAAATAAATAAATAAAACTGTAAAAAAGGTAATCCATCCATCCATCCATTTTCTTTTACCCGTTTATTCCATTTTGGGTCACGGGGGTCGCTGGTGCCCATGTCCAGCAATCACTGTGCGAGGGGCGGGAGACACCCTGGACGGGTCGCAAGTCCATCACAGGGACACATAGAGACAAACGAGACAAACAACCATTCACTCTCTCACTCACACCTAGGGACAATTTAGAGTTACCAATCAGCCTAACATGCATGTTTTTGGTATGTGGGAGGAAACCGGAGTACCCGGAGAAAACCCACGCATGCACGGAGAGAACATGCAAACTCCACCCAGAAAGGCCCCTGGACCGGGGTTTGAACCAGGGACCTGCTCGCTGAGAGGCAGCAGCTCTACCAGTTGTGCCACCGTGCTGCCTGAAAAACTAAACCATTAGTTATTATTATTAAACTGCAAACGTGAAGAAACGCAGCACGTCAAAAACAAAACTTAAACCGAAACTTGTTCTGGTTCGGTGGATAGGACCAGGTGTTACACCATACTCTGTGACCTGCAACAGTGCAACACCACCCCCTACGGTCATACGGTGGTCACATAATATGACGTCACTACGGATACCCGACTTTACATTTTTAACATCGATAGATGTTCTAGCAATCGATGTGTAGATTACTAGAGTACTCTGTTAATGCCCTAAATCACACTATTATCAAATCTAAGAAATCCAAACAGGAATTGTCTTAAAACCCAACTCTGAAACAAAGAAGTAAGAGTCATAGCAGACTATGACACAATTACTTATCAGTAATTGTTTCCAAAATGCTACGTTATGCAAAACAACTAAAAAGACTTTTTGACAAATCAGATTGTTCCTCGTAATCAGATTCAATTCTAAGCAGGTTGCTCTGATAACAGCATGAAGCCAATTTGGTGGCAAAGCTTTTCACTTGTTATCCCCCACCCCCAGCTACAAAGTCTTTCTCAAAGAGGCCGTAAACAGTGTATTTCAGCACGTATCTATTGGTTGTTTTCAATGTATCAATGTTATTGTAGTACTTTGCTAATAGCAACAAGAATTAATTTCAGGGCAGCCATTTTTTTGGATCTACAGACAAAATAGCAAGATCACAAAATTAATTTTATAAGTAAGATCAAAGCTAACAATGTCTGTTTAGACCTATATTAAGAGTGATGTCTCCACGCAGATTGATTACCAGCTAAGGTTGTCCTGAACCCACTGCAAATATCACATTTTGGTCCAAATTTAAGTATTTTTTCATTGATTGGTGGCTGACCACACACCACTCTCAGTCTCTGTTATTGCCCTGCTGTCTATAGTTTTATGTTAGCCGCACTGTAATACAGCTACCATAAAACATTGTGATGTAACCTGTCAACATTTTTGGTATTGAAGAATAAGTATAAAAAAGAGCAGTTTG